ATCAATTTTTGGCTTCAAATCTTGGTCTTTCTCTTGTTTTGCTTTAATATATATATTTGGTTCCAATTCACCATCATCAACTCCTTCAGTCACTTTGACTTCAGCTTGATAGCACCTGGTTAGTTCAACCTCCCTTTTAACACTTACTGGAATTTGGCCTGTTGTTTCCAATCGTCATTTTATCGAAGTTAACTACACACTTCCTCAGTATTAAATAGTCCAATCCTAATATGCATTGGTCTTCAATGTCAGCCAAGTATACTTTCTGTCTGTTCTATATGCCCATGAGCTCAATAGTTACCCAGACTGGTACCCACAACCTTGCATAATGTCCTGTCACACCACAGAACTTCTGTATGGCTTCTGGTACTCTTTTGTGATCCAGCACCTTGATACTCACAAGGGTTTGCTGAGATGCAGAATCTATGACAAAGTTACATATTTGACTGTCCAGCTTTTCTGTCACGTAGGCACTATGTGTGCTTGCCATTTTACACTTAGTTGTTGGGATTTTCATAATGGGGATAGGTGGGCGTCCCTCAACACAAGCCACTACTGGTTTCCCGAAGCTGACATTTTGGTAGTATTCTTCTTAGACTGGCTCTTCATATGCCCTTGCTCTCAACAGTTCCAACAACCTTTCTGGGCAGCAGCCTTTCCTGCCATGGCATCTTCCCTGTGTTGAAGTTGCCAGCATTGAGTTCTCTTGTGTCCAGGTTTGTTACAGTGCCAGCAAAGTCCTTCAAACATGTCTGAAAGCTGCCCTTTTCAGGCCTGGAATCCTGATGACTGTACCAACCTTGGTACCCCTGTGCTGGACTTAACATAGAATTCTAATTCAAGAGCTCTGGCCATTACATCTTGTACAGTAGAGGGGTGTGCTTGATTTACTTGTATCTTCAGTTGTGGATTGACCTAGGCGTCTACAAGCTGATCCCTCAGCAACAGCTTGAGGACATCAGGTGGTGCAGTTGGGTAGACTTTGTGTGCCATACTTTCCAAATACTGTGACAGCTCTTGCATGCTCTCCCCTTTAGCACGGACTCTTGTCCTAAATCTAGCCCTGTAGACTTCATAATGATTTTGAGTTCCATACCTGAGCTTTAGAGCAGTTACCAGTGCACTATAGTTGTGCCTGTCGTCTGCTGACAACTGTCCAAGTATTTCCAGTGATTGTCCCTTCAGGATCGTTGCCAGGTGCACTGCTTTCTGCTCTTCTGTCCATCCATTCATCTCTGCCAGGAGCTCAAATTGTGCTCTATATGCTTCCCATGGTGCCTTCCCATCGAATTCCTGTGGCTTCCTTCGTACTAGATCACCCCTATTGCTGACACTCATGTCTGGAATGTGACTTCTGACAGGACTGAATATGTCTGCATTAGGGTTTAGCTGCGGGGTCTGGAAGGGGCTTCCCGTTGTCTGAAGCTAATTAGGTCGATGGCTAATATATCCTCCTTGTGTCAAAGACAATAAATCATCCTTTAATGTATTTAATTCACTTTGAAATTTACTCATCTTTTCCATTAGTGTATGCTGGCTTTCTCTCAACTGTTGAAGACTTTCTTCTTGTTTATTTTCTTTCTTCTCCAACCACTGCTGCAGTCTCTCTTCTTGTTCATTTTCTTTCCCCTCCAACCATTGCTGTAGTCTCTCTTCTTGTTTCTTTTCTTTTTCCACAACAACTGCTATAATCTCGAAAAAAGAAAAGAAAAAGAAGATGGAAACGAGAAGTGGCAAATCAAACTACAGCTTAGCAGATTTGATGGCAGCAATACAAGAACAGCAAAAGAAACAAGAAGAAAATCCCACTTCTAACACCAATTTGTTACGTCTCTGGTCGTTTGTTAATTTCCCGTAGAAATTGTTTCCGAAAAACGTCAGCGATACAAGTCCTTTCTTAAATAAAACTGGTTTATTATTTCTCAATACAACTTTTCAATACACAGAATTTCCACCGTCACTTTAACTTAAACACGTGCTATAATTCACAACGATTCACACTTTACTTACAGTCACTACCGCTCACTTAACACAATTATCTGTCTATTTGCAATTATATCTCCGCTTTATTTGCCGGGCTTATATATAAAAATAAAGGGCGTCTGGCAAATACTCGAGCCTTCATGATCCTTCTAGAATCTCATCACGTGTTACCAGAGTCACTTGACTTCCTCTTTTTCTACAATAGTTTAACGGTTTGTTTTAACGTACACTTTGTTATGATCTGAAGGCGTTAAATTTACACACAAAAAGTATTTTTAAGTGAAACAGCAGTGTTATGATATAAACATCAGTACCAGCAACTGCATAACAAATTCTGACGATTTGACTACAAAGTCCTATTGATAAACTTCTTAGCTGAACCCTTTTCACAGTTAGATAATAGCATATCTGTACCCAGTTTGGAAACACAAAGAAATGGTTAAAGTTGATTACTCATCGGTTCTTATGAACGTCGTTTTGCCAAAACGCTGACTACGTCGTTTTTTTGTTTAGTTTTGTAAAGTGATTTTCAACCATTTCCTTGTGTTTCCTGATAAGATCACGTTGTAGCTGTATCTGTTTATTATCTGTGTTACATATTGTAAGGGTAATTTTAAAATAACGAGGAATTAAGTTGTAAATGAGCACATTAGATAAAATTCCATGTATTATCACAGTGTTACAAAAACACAAGTATCAAGGTACATATATTGACAGACGAACGATTACACTTAACAATACCAGTAATACGGCATATCTCTTGACAGAAAAACGCTTACACTTAACAACACCAGTAATACGGTATATATATTGACAGAAAAACGTTTACATTTAACAACACCAGTAACACAGTACATCTCTTGACATAGGAATGATTACACTTAACAACACCAGTAACACGGGACATATCTTGACAGAAAAACGCTTACACTTAACAACAACAGTAACACGGGACATATCTTGACAGAAGAATGTTTACACTTAACAACACCAGTAACACGGGACATATCTTGACAGAAGAATGTTTACACTTAACAACAACAGTAACACGGTATATCTCTTGACAGAAGAATGTTTACATTTAACAACACCAATAACATGGTACATATCTTGACACAAGAATGTTTACATTTATCAACACCAGTAACACGGGACATATCTTGACAGAAGAATGCTTACATTTAACAACACCAGTAACACGGGACATATCTTGACAGAAAAACGCTTACACTTAAAAACACCATTAACATGGTACATATCTTGACAGAAGAATGCTTACATTTAACAACACCAGTAACACGGGACATATCTTGACAGAAAAACGCTTACATTTAACAACACCAGTAACATGGCACATCTATTGACAGAGGAATGATTACACTTAACAACACCAATAACATGGTACATATCTTGACAGAAGAATGCTTACATTTAACAACACCAGTAACACGGGACATATCTTGACAGAAAAACGCTTACATTTAACAACACCATTAACATGGTACATCTATTGACAGAGGAATGATTACACTTAACAACACCAGTAACATGGTACATCTATTGACAGAGGAATGCTTACATTTAACAACACCAGTAACACGGGACATCTATTGACAGAGGAATGATTACACTTAACAACACCAGTAACACGGGACATATCTTGACAGAGGAATGATTACACTTAACAACACCAATAACATGGTACATCTATTCACAGAGGAATGCTTACATTTAACAACACCAGTAACATAGTACATCTTCTGGCAGAATTATTTTTACACTTGAATGTTGGTCATGTTTTATTTTTATCTCTTATAAAACTGCTGAATGTTAGAAAGCTCTCTAGAAATGTAATACGTTGACAAGATTGCGTGTTATACGATAATAAATGACAAATAAAACCTAATATTAAAAACCAACGTTTAAAATGAAACACCTTTATCACACTTGGTATCAAAAATCTTGTATAGCTGACATGCAAGTTATAGTTCATTACTTCATACGACTTACCATCAGATGATAACTGAATAATGGCAGTTCGTTT